ACATATTAGTCTATATGTTAACAATATAGCTTCATTTCATCAGTCTGCTCTATCATTTAAGCTTCAAGTCTTAACTTCCTTCAAGTAATTTCATTTTACATTTTAGTCATTTTAGTCATTTAGCAGACACTCTTATCCAGAGCGACTTACAGTTAGTGAGTGCATACATTTTCCTTACTGATAACTCATGTAAAACATAGTCTTGCATGCCATTGTGAAAAAGTGTATTCACTTTGCCCTCTCATAAGACTGCTTTAAAGAACAAGCACACATAAATACCACAACTGCTACTGTTTTTTAAAAGGCCAAGGCTGCAGATCGGACTTTTCTGGAGCCCACTTCTCAGCGGTGCAAATAGGCCTACCCATGAGAATATCTACCATTTCTCTCTGAATGGAACCCCACACTATTATTTGGATTGGTAAGCCTAAACCCTCCAAAATGTGCCTAATCTGACAAAACACACTTCAGTGTATCCTTGCTTATTTCGATGCCAACCTTTCCAGTTACATGCTGCTCATCTGATTCAGTTGTCATAGAGTTTACGATTTCCTCATCTGATAGACCTCTACCACAACTTTCTGTCTGTAAGTGGTAGTATTCATTCCCAATATCTTGGGTGTCTGAGATTTGATTGGGCTGCACCACTGACACTCCATCATATGAGCTCATGGCTACATCAGGATAAAGATCAGAAGCAGGTTATTTATCCTCAAAAGTGTGTACATTTTGCATATTAAGTTGGCAGTCGGATTGTCTTCTCTGAGCAGTTGACATTCCCTCATTTAAACTCTCCACAGGCAATAGGTTTTGTACCTGAGCCTCAATTACATTCTCTGTTTGTACCATTTTGCTTAATTTCAACTGGTTGTCACTAGCAATAGAATGTATAAATGTTACCTCTATTCTTGTCCCACATATTCCTAGGAATTTTGACACTATGTTTAGTGACAATGGGTTTTCCAATTGGCCATTGCAAAGTTTTGGCAACTTCCTCCCAAAATAGGAAATAAAATGTTTAATTATGCTGCATAACGGAATGTATTGCCATTGAAATAGCATGCTAATCCAAACATTAATTTTTTTAAATCAATTTTGATCTTCCCAAACATCCATGCCACCCCCATACAATGTATGTTTCAGATGTGGTGGTTCAACAGCATTATTTTCATTTATCATCTGTTGTGTCAAATTATTCTGATCTATGCATTTATCAGTACGGACAACTCCACAGTTAACTATCACTACAGACAACAGCATCACTATCAGTACAGTCAAATCCTACTATAGCACTAGGTCCACCCTTTACCAGTATACAGAAGATAGCCCTATTTGGTAAAAGACCAAGTCCATATTATGGCAAGAACAGATCAAATAAGCAAAGAGAAACGACAGTCCATCATTACTTTAAGACATGAAGGTCAGTCAATACAGAACATTTCAAGAACTTTGAAAGTTTCTTCAAGTGCAGTCCCAAAAACCATCAAGCGCTATGATGAAACTGGCTCTCATGAGGACTGCCACAGGAATGGAAGACCCAGAGTTACCTCTGCTGCAGAAGATAAGTTCATTAGAGTTACCTGCCTCAGAAATTGCAGCCCAAATAAATGCTTCACAGAGTTCAAGTCACAGACACATCTCAACATCAACTGTTCAGAGGGGACTGTGTGAATCAGGCCTTCATGGTCGAATTGCTGCAAAGAAACCACTACTAAAGGACACCAATAAGAAGAAGAGACTTGCTTGGGCCAAGAAACACAAGCAATGGACATTAGACTGGTGGAAATTTGTCCTTTGGTCTGGAGTCCAAATTGGAGATTTTTGGTTCCAACCGCCGTGTCTTTGTGAGACACGTTGTGGGTGAACGGATGATCTCCGCATGTGTAGTTCCCACCTTAAAGCATGGAGGAGAAGGTGTTATGGTGTGGGGGTGCTTTACGGGTGACACTGTCTGTGATTTATTTAGAATTCAAGGCACACTTAACCAGCATGGCTACCACAGCATTCTGCAGCGATACGCCATCCCATCTGGTTTGGGCTTAGTGGGACTATCATTTGTTTTTCAACAGGACAATGACCCAACACACATCCAGGCTGTGTAAGGGCTATTTGACCAAGAAGGAGAGTGATGGAGTGCTGCATCAGATGACCTGGCCTCCACAATCCCCCGACCTCAACCAAATTGAGATGGACGGCAGAGTGAACGAAAAGCAGCCCACAAGTGCTCAGCATATGTGGGAACTCCTTCAAGACTGTTGGAAAAGCATTCCAGGTGAAGCTGGTTGAGAGAATGCCAAGAGTGTGCAAAGCTGTCATCAAGGCAAAGGGTGGCTATTTGAAGAATCTCAAATATAAAATATATTTTGATTTGTTTAACACTTTTTTGGTTACTAGATGATTCCAAATGTGTTATTTCATAGTTTTGATGTCTAAAAATAAAGAAAAACCCTTGAATGAGTAGGTGTGTCTAAACTTGTAACTGGTACTGTATATATCTAATTTTTTGGACAAATCAACAATGATTTTCGGGAAGCCTTTGACTCGCCTCCTGAAGTGTCACCGTACACAGCACAGCCATTGGTTAGGCAGCACAAAAAAGTTAACATTTACATGTTTATATTTTAGTCATTTAGCAGATGCTCTTATGCAGAGCGACTTACAGTTAGTTCATTCAGCTTAAGATAGCTACAGTGGGGAGAGCAAGTATTTTATACACTGCCAATTTTGCAGGTTTTCCTACTTCCAAAGCATGTAGAGGTCTGTAATTTTTATCATAGGTACACTTCAACTGTGATGGACGGAATCTAAAGAAAATATCCAGAAAATCACATTGTATGATTTTTAAGTAATGAATTTGCATTTTATTGCATGACATAAGTATTTGATCACCTACCAACCAGTAAGAATTCCGGCTCTCACAGACCTGTTAGTTTTTCATTAAGAAGTCCTCCTGTTCTCCACTCATTACCTGTATTAACTGCACCTGTTTGAACTCATTACCTGTATAAAAGACACCTGTCCACACACTCAATCAAACAGACTCCAACCTCTCCACAATGGCCAAGACCAGAGAGCTGTGTAAGGACATCAGGGATAAAATTGTAGACCTGCACAAGGCTGGGATGGGCTACAGGACAATAGGCAAGCAGCTTGGTGAGAAGGCAACAACTGTTGGCGCAATTATTAGAAAATGGAAGAAGTTCAAGATGACGGTCAATCAACCTCGGTCTGGGGCTCCATGCAAGATCTCACCTCGTGGGGCATCAATGATCATGAGGAAGGTGAGGGATCAGCCCAGAACTACACGGCAGGACCTGCTCAATGACCTGAAGAGAGCTGGGACCACAGTCTCAAAGAAAAACATTAGTAACACACTACGCCGTCATGGATTAAAATCCTGCAGCGCACGCAAGGTCCCCCTGCTCAAGCCAGCGCATGTCCAGGGCCGTCTGAAGTTTGCCAATGACCATCTGGATGATCCAGAGGAGGAATGGGAGAAGGTCATGTGGTCTGATGAGACAAAAATAGAGCTTTTTGGTCTAAACTCCACTCGCCGTGTTTGGAGGAAGAAGAAGGATGAGTACAACCTCAAGAAAACCATCCCAACCGTGAAGCATGGAGGTGGAAACATCATTCTTTGGGGATGCTTTTCTGCAAAGGGGACAGGACGACTGCGCCGTATTGAGGGGAGGATGGATGGGGCCATGTATCGCGAGATCTTGGCCAACAACCTCCTTCCCTCAGTAAGAGCATTGAAGATGGGTCGTGGCTGGATCTTCCAGCATGACAACGACCCAAAACACACAGCCAGGGCCACTAAGGAGTGGCTCCGTAAGAAGCATCTCAAGGTCCTGGAGTGGCCTAGCCAGTCTCCAGACCTGAACCCAATAGAACATCTTTGGAGGGAGCTGAAAGTCCGTATTGCCCAGCGACAGTCCCGAAACCTGAAGGATCTGGAGAAGGTCTGTATGGAGGAGTGGGCCAAAATCCCTGCTGCAGTGTGTGCAAACCTGGTCAAGGTTTTCCTACAGGAAACGTATGATCTCTGTAATTGCAAACAAAGGTTTCTGTACCAAATATTAAGTTCTGCTTTTCTGATGTATCAAATACTTATGTCATGCAATAAAATGCAAATTAATTACTTAAAAATCATACAATGTGATTTTCTGGATTTTTGTTTTAGATTCAGTCTCTCACAGTTGAAGTGTACCTATGATAAAAAATTACAGACCTCTACATGCTTTGTAAGTAGGAAAACCTGCAAAATCGGCAGTGTATCAAATACTTGTTCACCCCACTGTAGGTGGGACAACCACATATCACAGGCATAGTAAATACACTTTTCCTCAATAAAGTAGCAGTCAGAGCTAGCAGCGCAGAAACCCGGGAAGGAAGTACATTTTCTTAGAAATATAACTTTGCCCTGTGCTTCTCTGAGCATGCACTTCGTATAGCCTATAGTTTAGTATACGCTACGGATCATTTGATTGAGACCACACGAAATATAGGCCCACTTGATATTGCGCACCAGGCAGAGAATCAGGAATGAAGGCCAGCACATACATTGGCATACATACAGTTTACTTCGGCACCTAGAATAGTTTTCTCTCTATAAGACAATATGTAATTTATAGGAATTTAATGTATTGCATTGGGACCAATGGAGTGGATGGAGTAGAAAGTGCTGCTGGGCATTTAGACTTCAGTATAAGATGAATTGACACCATATACAATACTTTTACTGCGGCACCCAGAATAGTTTTTGCTCTATAAGCCAATATGTATTCATATACAGTGATTCATATTGTGGTCGCCAATGGAATATGAACAAATGTTAATAATTGTTACTGTTTAGACAATTATTTTTCATATATCATGAATAAATACGTTTTGACATTTTTCTACTATTACGTGGGGACTTTTATTTAGAACGTTTTCGAAATTCCGTGACCCGGAAGTACTTTTTTAGTGTTGCTGATGAGACGCTGATGACGCCAACCTTAAGTGCGTGGAGCTGTTCACTTCACCCAAGTTTGCCATGATGATTTCTAATGAGACTAGTTCATAAGGTAATTTCGTGTTATTTTAAATATTTGATTTCATTGACTGTAAATTGTTAATGCATGTAAACAGCCTACATCGCTATCGTTTCAGTACTGTAGAAAGCTACAGGCTAACATCTTATCTGGCCAGACATTAAATTGGCCTGCCGTTAGCTAGCTAGCTAATTTATAACAGCATATTGAATAAACGTAGCTAGCTAGCTAGCTAAGCTATTCAGTTTCAAACACACTTACAATCTTACCGCTACACTATTCAAAGCAGTCTTTGACCATTCATTTGAAATGTATTTTAAACGTTTAACTGGATGTTACTGTAACAGTTCAACGTGATCTCTGTAACGCTATGCTTCTGACAGTGTGTCAGTGGCACGTGGAGGGTAAACAACACTGCACACTTAGCTACAAAACCAACCACAAGGTGGAGTTTAAAATCAAATCCAATCAAATTGTATTGGCCACATGCGCCGAATACAACAGGTGCAGACATTACAGTGAAATGCTTACTTACAGCCCTTAACCAACAGTGCATTTATTTTTAATAAAAAAAGTAAAATAAAACAACAACAAAGTGTTGAAAAAAAAAGAGCAGAAGTAAAATAACAGTAGGGAGGCTATATATACAGGGGGGTACAGGTGCAGAGTCAATGTGCGGGGGCACCGGCTAGTTGAGGTAGTTGAAGTAATATGTACATGTGGGTAGAGTTAAAGTGACTATGCATAAATAATTAACAGAGTAGCAGCAGCGTAAAAAGATGGGGTGCAAATAGTCTGGGTAGCCATGATTAGCTGTTCAGGAGTCTTATGGCTTTGGGGTAGAAGCTGTTGAGAAGTCTTTTGGACCTAGACTTGGCGCTCCAGTACCGCTTGCCGTGCAGTAGCAGAGATAACAGTCTATGACTAGGGTGGCTGGAGTCTTTGACAATTTTGAGGGCCACCTTTCAAACGTGGACTCCGGCATGGAGCGCATGTTTTTGTTCCAGCCCAGTACTCTGTTAAAGAAGACCCAGCAGCCTATTTAGGAGGTTCTGCAGCAGCAGTTGAGACAAGTCAGTAGATCAGGTCCAAATAGGTATAATAGTGTAGGTGATGAAGAAGATTGGATTCAGAGGTTATTTCCTAAATATACAGATGATGATGATAATAGTTGACAAACTTAACTGGACTTGAGTACAAAAGGCATAACAATGCAAGTTACATTACAGAAGCTGCGTTTACACAGGCAGCAGCCCCATTCTGATCTTTTGCCCAATTATTGGCAAAAGAGCTAATCTGATTGGTCAAGACCAATTAGTGGGGGAAGAAATGTGAATTGGGCTGCCTGTGTAACCAGAGTGCCAATAGAATAAACTGGCAGAGCTATTAACTCACGTTACTTTGACAAGCAGCTATTTCCCCTGGACCTAGAATGAGGACCTGCCCGGCCTAACCTGGCATAAACCACTCAGTAAATTATTAATTAGAAATAACACTAATTAACATTTCACATGTAAGACATAATTTACATAAATGTGAATGTTTACAATAAACAATGAAAACACCGCCTAAGATGCAGAAATCTAATACTGTTAGGCGCGCAAGCTGTGGCTAAAGCTGTGAACTTTATGGTGCGGTGGTGAGTACAGATTGGCATTATGATACGTTCATAACATGTGGGAAACTCTGAAAATCCTTTTTGTAAACTGGGTTCAATTAGTTGTGTGCATTCACATGCTTTGAATACGTTGAGAACGCTGATTGGCTAATGCCAAAAAAAGTAGGGCTATCATGCTGGTAAACAAATTCTAGTGTTCATAAACCATATTAATAGGTAAAAAATTTAAATAAATGCTGTTATTGAGGTAATTTCCTTAGTATGTGACGTCAGAGTTCAGCATGTGGGAGAACTCATAGCTCAGAGATGATAGACGAGCTTCCCACTAGTAATTACCAGTTGGAGGGGCGTTCAAGTGGATTTTTCCCAGTCTTATTCTGGTATTTACGAGATGTAATGAACGCAGCATTCAAACAAAATAAATGATAATGATAACCAGACTGGCGTGTTTTCTTTTACATGTAGCGATGCACAATGTTGGATGGGACTAGCGATAGCATAGTTAGGTAAGCAACACATTTAGTAGAAACAGAGTTAATGTGGGGGAGAAATATAGGGAAATGTCCGAGTCAGTTACTTGAAGATAGCTGACAGGCACATCACACAGACACATGGGGTGCGTTCAGTTCGCCTCAACGTTTGCTACATTGTGTGACGGTTTGCACTGAATGACACGTTTCCTCAAAACGGTGCACATTGTTCTTCAACAGCCTTTGAGGTACGTTTGCTCCCATTTGGTGGGTGTGGCGAGGTGTGGCCTGATCAATATGGGTGTGACCAAACTCGTGCAGCACACCATACGGTAATAATGACACTCTGGGCCACCATAATCAATGTTTTTCAACTGGTCGTTCAGTACAGTACAGTTTCCGTTTAATTCAAGGTTGCATACTGTTCTGTCGTACTGAACACAACCCTGATTTAATCAATCTAGGTTCATGATAGTTGATTAGTTGGATGATCAGATGTGTTAGTGGCGGCTGGTACAAAAGTATCAACACTGAGTTCCCAATTCCACGATTGAAGAAGAAATAAGTGGGCTCAGGAGAAGATTAGTTTGATGTCAAGCAGTGCTACTGCTAAGCATAAATGCTAAGATACTGCTAAGCATTAATGCTAAGATACTGCTAAGCATTAATGCTAAGATACTGCTAAGCATTATAAAATGTGTATAATATCTTGTGTGCAAATGAAACTCCCCCACTAATTCCACAGCTCTCACAGACCCCTGTAGATCCATACCTGCAGTGTTCTGTTCATCATGATAACTCCAGCGTTTGAGTTGAGCCAGGACCCAGTTTTCCTAATCCTGACCATCCGTGTGCCCTACACTAGAACATCAGAGTTTGATCTCTACATCGATGGAGATGATTTCAAATTCTATGCCAAGCCTTACTTCCTCAGGTGAGTGACTGACCATCAGTCACATTTCTATGCTGCCATTATTGAAGTCACTATATTCATGTTTTCTTTGAAAATCTTGTTTTTATATATATTTTGAAAGGTATATACATTTGTAGTAATTAAATGCACACAGTTGCACCATGATATGCTGTAATTGTGTCAAAATGCTGATAGGCCACCTTCATGTTTAGTTCTAACACATTTTGAATCTCTTATCAAGACTGAATTTACCTGGAAAACTAGTGGAGGATGGGAGGGAAAAGGCCTCCTTCGACATTGATAAAGGTAATGTTTGGTTTTTACACTTTGTTCATGTTTTTATTGATAAGGAATCATTCATTAGTAGTTTTGCTGTTGGCTCTTTGCATTTTGGAATGGATGCGTGTGGTTGAAAGAAAATGCAGGCTTTCATATTCTGATGAAAACAGACCACCTAATGCATCGTTGATAGTGCATTATTGACCCTTTCATTGAAACACAATGTCACCCTATCGTTGTCAGTGCGTGTGTCCTCTTGAGCTCCCAGTAATCAAATCAGCATTACTGGTGGTTAGAAGGATGTTCTCACTAGACTCCACAGTGTGTAGTTAGCACTACAGCTAGTCAGAGCCACTCTAGCAGGACCCTTAGTGATGCGGCTGATAGCAGAGTCAGTGGGATTGATCCCTGGTGTCTCTTTACCACTCACTACAGAGACAGCCACACAGACTTCATTACTGGTTATGCTATTAGATATGAAGGGCCATTTGACCTGTCTGTGATGTAACAAATGCCTCCTGCAGCTTATTTCTGCGCATTTCTAGTGACACTTGGCCTTTTTTGTTTTATTCATGTATTTATTCTATTTACCAACTCATTCTCATGAGGCTACTTTGCTTAGAATCCATTTTTTCAGTTAGGAGTGGAATACTCAGATCAATTTTTAAATCAATTTCATTTCCAATTATCTCTTTTGATTATGTTGGGTTGGTGAAGCGTTAGCCTTATGCTCGCTGACACAACATTGGCCCTCAATCAGCGATGCCCTGTTTGACACACTGTGTCTAAATAAGCCACTAACTGCTGCTAATATAGCTTCTCTAATGGGAGTCCCGGTTTATACTCGCAATTAGAAATCATTACGATACATCTTTTTAGGGCTGGGCGAAATAGTCAAATGTATGTATTTGACGTTATTTGATGGTTCTGAATAATACAAATTATAAATATGCTTTATTAGTAGTGCATGACCCTTGAATGGCAACAAATTAATTGTATGGGCTTTCTCCATTCTGATTTATTTGATACCCATTCAAGTAGTCAAATTTGGAAAACTTTTTATATTTATCCAGCACTGTGTCAACATATCGTTATAGACAGTATTGTAAAACTCCATATACTGGTATTCACAATATATCACCCAGCCCCACTGCCTTTGGACTCTTCAAGGCAGCCTCCTCTAAAGAGGCCCATAGCCAAGGCAATTAGCCGACTAGCATAAAGCATTTTTAAGGTAAATACTCCAACAAAGTGTTGAAAGATTTATGAGGTTTTTAAAAGGGATTAAGACTAGGAAATTATCTCCTTGGCTAGAGGTGGAATGGTCATATATTTTATAGACTGTGTAGTCCTTCTCTTGTAATTGCTGTTTTGAGAGAAGTAAACCTCTGCTTTTGACTGAATACGCGTCTGCAGAGATTCAGTCATGGATTTATCATGAACATTTATTGTACTACATGTAAAGAGCCAAATCTAATTGATGAAAAATGCTTCCGGACTGTTTACAGGCAGACAATGCTATCCGATTTGCTTCCACATTGTCTACGTCTCTACACCTTGTACAGCTACACATTCAGTTGTTGCATTTCTCAAACCGAAGATCTCTGCTGCAGTGCTGCCAATTGTTTCACCTGCTCCCTGATGTTCTCTGTGTGTCCCAGGTCTTTTTACCCTGCGCGTCCCCAAGGAGACAGCAGGGGAGCACTTTGAAGGGCTCCAGATGCTGACTAGTCTCCTGGCTCCCAAAGGCTCCCGCTCAGCCAAGCCTCTGGTGGAAGACATGGGTATGTTGAAGTGTCATAACATTTACATTTTAGTCATTTAGCAGACGCTCTTATCCAAAGCGACTTGCAATTAGTGCATTCATCTTAAGATAGCTAGGTGAGACAGCCACATATCACAGTCGTAGCAAGTACATTTTCCCTCAAAGGAGATATCAACAAAGTCAATGCTAGTAGGGGAAAAAATAAAATAAATATATATATATATATATATACCGTACCAGTCAAAAGTTAGGACAGACTTACTCATTCAAGGGTTTTTCTTTATTTTTACTATTTTCTCCATTCTCTCAACCAGCTTCATGAGGTAGTCACCTGGTGTGCAGAATTTGTCCTTTGGTCTGGAGTCCAAATTGGAGATTTTTGGTTCCAACTGCCGTGTCTTTGTGAGATGTGGTGTGGGTGAACGGATGATATCCGCATGTGTATTTCCCACCGTAAAGCATGGAGGAGGAGGTGTTATGGTGTGGGGGTGCTTTGCTGTGACACTGTGATTTATTTAGAATTCAAGGCACACTTAGCCAGCATGGCTACCACAGCATTCTACAGTGATACGCCATCCCATCTGGTTTGGGGTTAGTGGGACTATCATTTGTTTTTCAATAGAAAATAACACACCTCCAGGCTGTTTAAGGGCTATTTTATCAAGAAGGAGAGTGATGGAGTGCTGCATCAGATGACCTGGCCTCCACAATCCCCCGACCTCAAACCAGTTGAGATGGTTTGGGATGAGTTGGACGGCAGAGTGAAGGAAAAGCAGCCAACAAGTGCTCAGCATATGTGGGAACTCCTTCAAGACTGTTGGAAAAGCATTCCAGGTGAAGCTGGTTGAGAGAATGCCAAGAGTATGCAAAGCTGTCATCAAGGCAAAGGGTGGCTATTTGAAGAATCTCAAATATAAAATATATTTTGATTTGTTTAACACTTTTTTAGTTACTACATGATCCCAAATGTGTTATTTCATAGTTTTGATGTCTTCACTATTATTCTACAATGTAGAAAATAGTAAAAATTAAGAAAAACCCTTGAATGATTATGAGTACCAGTCAAAAGTTTGGACACACATACTCATTCAAGGGTTTTTCTTTATTTTTACTATTTTCTACATTGTAGAATAATAGTGAAGACATCAAAACTATGAAATAACACACGTGGTACACGTGTGACCAAAAGTATGTGGACACCTGCTCGTCGAACAATTAATTCCTAAGTCATGGGCATTAATATGGAGTTGGTCACCCCCTTTTCTGCTATAACAGCCTCCACTCTTCTGGAAAGGCTTTCCACTAGATGTTGGAACATTGCTGCAGGGACTTGCTTCCATTCAACCAGAAGAGCATTAGTGAGGTCAGGCACTGTTGTTGGGCGATTAGGCCTGGCTCGCAGTTGGCGTTCCAAATCATCCCAAAGGTGTTCGACAGGTTTGAGGTCAGGGCTCTACGCAGGCCAGTCAAGTTCTTTCAGACCGATTTCGACAAACCATTTCTGTATGGACCTTGTGCACAGGGACATTGTCATGCTGAAACAGGGAAGGGCCTTCCCCAAACTGTTGCCACAAAGTCGGAAGCAAAGAATCATCTAGAATGTCTGCTGTAGCGTTAAGATTGCCCTTCACTGGGAACTAAGGGGCCTAGCCTGAACCATGAAAACAGCCCCAGACCATTATTCCTCCTCCACCAAACTTTACAGTTGGCACTATGCATTGGGGCAGGTAGCGTTCTCCTGGCATCCGCCAAACCCAGATTCGTCCGTCGGACTGCCAGATGCTGAAGCGTGATTCATCACTCCAGCGAAGGCGTTTCCACTTCTCCAGAGTCCAGTATGTTGCTGGAATCCATATTGATGTTTATGTTAAGCTAAAATCAATATCTCCCAATGAAACTGCTGGAGTAAGGACTTAGAACAGAAAAACCCACTGGATTTTGTCATTGGTGATGTTGTAATACGATTTGGCTTAATGGTTTTGTTTCTCATTAAGACATTGATGCTTTACATTACAGAGGCGTGCGGTGGTATTATGGACGGTGAGGAAGAGGATGATGAAGAGGAGTTTGACTGGCAGGTTGAGCAGGAGGTGTACATGGAAACCTCAGAGGAGCAGCTGAAGGAACTGCAGAAGTATGGCTTTGGGAATCAGAGGTCCGGAGTGTTCACTAGACTGCAGGTAAGGTCATTCATTGGCTTGGCAGTACTCTGTGCTTCTTGAAGACAATGACTAGAAGTGAGTAGTGGAATGGTATCCTTTGAAAGCATTGCTAGGTTTATAATGCGATTGGTATAGTTCACATAAGTACGGCCAGGAGTTCTACCTGACCTTATGACCTGATCAGGAAAACATAGCATCATGTACAGCATGTGTCGGTTTAATGGAGGATTGTCCAATCAGGAGGAGCTGAGTGATGTCATCGACGTCCGAAACCCAGATGGAACCACAGTGTCAGAAAGGAGACGGGAACGGCTAGACGCTGAGACGTCCATATTCTGCCCTGACCATTACCTGTGAGTCATCCAAAGAATAGTACCCCCTAATTGAATCATTGTACATCATTAACAAATGCACAGATGATATCACTGATTAATTACATTGTATTCTATCACTTTCATTGTTATGACACTGACCTGTTTGTGTCTGTAGTGCTGACCTGTTTGAAGACCAGGAGATCCAGGGTCTGCTGAAGTTCTGCCCTTGGTGGTCTGATCTGAGCCCAGACTCCATCCGGCAGGGAGAGGCAGGTGAGCTGGAGTCCTCCCTATCTATCCCACCACTACCACACATGAAAGGATAGTTCATCCTCATTTCATGTGCTAAAGCTTGACATTAAGTTGCTATTATATCTGTTAAATTATGCTGTAATTCATGTAGTAGCATTGTATTACAGAGTAGAATATAACCTATAGTTTTAGCTCAGTTCACACAAAGAGCAGTAAGAGATTTCCACCAGCAGGTGGTATATAAATGCAGACAATGAAAAAGGAACTTAACTTTGGTGTCAAACTAGTGATCCCAGAAAGACAGAAGTATACATTTGTGTTAATGTATAAATAATTACTGTTTTAAACATTTTATATCCAGTATTGTTCAACTGTTTTGTTGGGTACTGTCAGTTGTGAGGTTGTGGCGTGAAGTTAGTTTAACATTCACTGGATTGATGAATTGATGAGTTTGACATTAAGACTACAGTGTTAGTTCTCTAATGGTCATTTGGAAATGCATCCCTGTGGTATTGGTTCATTTGGTTGCCTTTGTATATAGACCATATTCTAGATCGTCATTTCAGTTATCAGCTCTTAGGGCTTTCCTTAAAATGCAGAATTTAACAAAATGTCCCTAGCCATCCCCCATATCCAGACTTGTATCGCCATTACCTCACTCTCCCACAAATCCTATTTCTCTTATTTATCTCTGGCAGTCCATGACATAAGAAATCAATTAGTCATTTAAAAGGTGTGATCCACGGCTGGCAGGCTGGGCCCCACAGGTTTGTTTTCTCTTCTCACTCAGATGAGAGTGATAAGGGCTTATTGTGCCATCCAGATCTCCTAACAGCCTGCTAATTCCTCTGCTCCCACAGCCTCAACGAACACATGGCTCGTAGCCACAGTTTATGTTAGTACAGTCGTGGTCAAAAGTTTTGAGAATGACACAAGTATTGGTCTTCACAAAGTTTGCTGCTTCAGTGTTATGAGATATTTTTGTCAGATGTTACTATGGTATACTGAATTACAATTCAATTACAAGCATTCCATAAGTGTCAAAGGCTTTTATTGACAATCACATTAAGTTTATGCAAAGAGTCAATATTTGCAGTGTTGACCCTTCTTTTTCAAGACCTCTGCAATCCGCCCTGGCATGCTGTCAATTAACTTCTAGGCCACATCCTGACTGATGGCAGCCCATTCTTGCATAATCAATGCTTGGAGTTTGTCAGAATTTGTGTGTTTTTGTTTGTCCACCCGCCTCTTGAGGATTGACCACAAGTTCTCAATGGGATTAAGGTCTGGGGAGTTTCCTGCTCATGGACCCAAAATTCAGATGTTTTGTTCACCGAGCCACTTAGTTATCACTTTTGCCTTATGGCAAGGTGCTCCATCATGCTGGAAAAGGCATTGGTCGGCACCAAACTGTTGGATGGTTGGGAGAAGTTGCTCTCGGAGGATGTGTTGGTACCATTCTTTTTTCATGGCTGTGTTCTTAGGCAAAATTGTGAGTGAGCCCACTCCCTTGGCTGAGAAGCAACCCCATACATGAATGGTCTCAGGATGCTTTACTGTTGGCATGACACAGGACTGATGGTAGCACTCACCTTGTCTTCTCCAAACAATCGGAAAGGGGATTCATCAGAGAGAATGACTTTCCCCAGTCCTCAGCAGTCCAATCCCTGTACCTTTTGCAGAATATCAGTCTGTCCCTGATGTTTTTCCTGGAGAGAAGTGGCTTCTTTGCTGCCCTTCTTGACACCAGGCCATCCTCCAAAAGTCTGCCTCACTGTGCGTGCAGATGCACTCACACCTGCCTGCTGCCATTCCTGAGCAAGCTCTGCACTGGTGGTGCCCCGATCCCGCAGCTGAATCAACTTTAGGAGATTGTCCTGGCGCTTGCTTGACTTTCTTGGGCGCCCTGATGCCGTCTTCACAACGATTCAACCTCTCTCCTTGAAGTTCTTGATGATCCAATAAATGGTTGATTTAGGTGCAATCTTACTAGCAGCAATATCCTTGCCTGTGAAGCCCTTTTTGTGCAAAGCAATGATGACGGCATGTGTTTCCTTGCAGGTAACCATGGTTAACAGAGGAAGAACAATGATTTCAAGCACCACCCTCATTTTAAAGCTTCCAATCTGTTATTCTAACTCAATCAGCATGATAGAGTGATCTCCAGCCTTGTCTTCGTCAACACTCACCTGTGTTAACGAGAGAATCACTGACATGATGGCAGCTGGTCCTTTTGTGGCAGGGCTGAAATGCAGTGGAAATGTTTTTGGGGGATTAAGTTCATTTTCATGGCAAAGAGGGACTTTGCATTGGATTGTAATTCATCTGATCACTCTTCATGACATTCTGGAGTATATGCAAATTTCCATCATCAAAACTGAGGCAGCAGACTTTGTGAAAATTATTATTTGTGTCATTCTCAAAACTTTTGACCACGACTGTACAGGATGTCGTACTATACGCTCAGGAAAGGATTTAGATTAAACATTATCACAGGAGGATGTGCTGGGTTGAGAGTGCCAGGATTCCTGTCTCTGCCTAGCACAGGAGAGATCGCACAGCCAAACAGCCATCAGTCAATGCTACGCAGCACTGATACACAACCCATTAGCAGCAGGCAGGAGGAATCCAGCATTAAGTTTTCCTGCAGCTCTGTGGACTCCCTCTTCTCATTCTGCATTTTGAGCACTCAGCCGGAGCCCCGGCACAGTTAAATGGGCCAAATTAAACTTAATGACTTATCTGACAGCTGGATGCGCGTTAGCCTTCCCCTGCCTGTCGAGAAATGTATTGGTCAGGAAATGTAGCCGTTTGTAGTAAAATCTTGATAGCATGCTTATGATTTTAATATATATATATATATTATAATGTGGGGAAGCTCAATTCTTATGCTTTCACATTTTGGCCTCCTTCAGTTTTTTTCCCTTCCTCGCCTATCCTAAGACAGAGATATACAGTATATGTCAGCTGACAGATTGGTGTAGACACTAGTGCTAATGAAGTAGAAACCCCACCCTGGGCCTGTGTGCCCCCTCTCTCTCCCCCGTGTCGAGGCCAGAGCACTGACCGGCCACAGCTGTCCACATGAACTGAGTGGGCGGTGTTAATCCAACACGACAGCCCTGTCTCTACCTGCAGCACTTCTTATGGCTGGTTTGACATGCCAGTGGCAGTCTGTGATTCATTGCATTGACCCGCAGGTTCTTTCACTGCAGAAAATGTACATCTCAAACAATTGCGCTTTCAGTTTAATATTGAGCGTTGATGTTTGGCAATCGATGTAAACTGTATTAAAGTTTCTGCGGACCCTATGTGCCCCACACACATTGTTCTGAACTACCAAGGTCATACGTCAGAAGCCTCTCAGTGATGCACGATTAGCGGAGGTATATTTACTCCATGTCACTGGTACCATCTGGAGATCGGGCCATGCTACGGGGGCAGACTGCTCAGAAGACTGGAGGAACTAGGTCACAAATTCATCTCCATTCATCTGACCCCACCCTTCCTCCCCCCCTTTCACTCGATTGGCTAGGATCAAAGCTGAGATCAGTGAGTGCCATTTAGATTGGATAAGATTAAAAGATCTAATGGGACAGATAGCTGTCTCTTGGATGAATGGAGCTCTGCGGCTGCATTATGTAGGCCTAGTTAGCTTGTGATTGACAGTTTAATGGTCAGCAGTAATCCCACATTTATCCTGTTTAAAATGTCTCTCTTTAGATCAGTTACGTGTGGGGGAAAAAAAACAGGATTAATAATAACTGATGCCCTCTAAGATGTAGGCTAGATGTCACTGAATGACGACAGATTTTAGAACATCTTGATAAATGCTGGACTGCTGTTCTAATAAAGAGACAAAGGAACCTGTTTGCCAGCAGGCCTATCCCTTTTCCTGATCCCTTTCTCCCGGTCGCAGCCGGCTGCGACAGAGCCTGGACTCGAACCAGGATCTCTAGTGGCACAGCTAGCACTAAGATGCAGTGCCTTCGACCACTGCGCCACTCGGGAGGCCATGTATTACGATTCTCACGATTCTATATGTATTGCAATTCGTTACTGTGATTTTATTGCGATTCGATGGTCCAAACATAATGCTCACCATACATTACATGACCAAAAGTGTGTGGACACCCGCTCGTCGAGCATCTCATTCCAAAATCATGGACATTAATATGGAGTTCGTCCCCCCTTTGCTGCTATAACAGCCTCCACTCTTCTGGGAAGGCTTTCCACCAGATCTTGGAACATTGCTGCGGGGACTTGCTTCCATTCATCCAGAAGAGCATTAGTGAGGTCGGGCACTGATGTTGGGCGATTAGGCCTGGCTCGCAGTCAGTGTTCCAATTCATCCCAAAGGTGTTCGATGGGGTTGAGGATAGGGCTCTGTGCAGGCCAGTCAAGTTCTTCCACACCGATCTCGACAAACCATTTCTGTATGGACCTTGCTTTGTGCATGGGGCATTTTCATGCTGAAACAGGAAAGGGCCTTCCCCAAACTGTTGCAACAAAGCACAGAATCATCTAGAATGTCATTGTATGCTGTAGCGTTAAGGCTTCCCTTCACTGGCACTAAGGGGCCTAGCCCGAACCATGAATCAGCCCCAGACCATTATTCCTCCTCCACCAAACTTTATAGTTGGCACTACTGTATGCATTAGGGCAGGTAGCGTTCTCCTGGCATCCGCCAAACCTAGATTTGTCCGTCGGACTGCCAGATGGTGAAGCATGATTCATCACTGCTCCAGATTCCAATGGCGGCGAGCTTTACACCACTCCAGCCGACGCTTAGCATTGCGCATGGTGATGTTAGGCTTGTATGCAGCTGCTTGACCATTGTAACCCATTTCATGAAGTTCCCGACGAACAGTTCTTGTGCTGACGTTTCTTCCAGAGGCAGTTTGGAACTCAGTAGTGAGTGTTGCAACCGAGGACAGATGATTTTTACGCGCTTCAGCACTTGGCAGTCCCGTTCTGTGCACTTGTGTTGCCTACCACTTTGTGGCTGAGCCGTTTTTGCTCCTAGACGTTTCCACTTCACAATAAAATAGGTTACAGTTGTCCGGGGCAGCTCTAGCAGGGCAGAAATTTGACGAACTGACTTGTTGGAAAGGTGGCATCCTATGACGGTGCCACGTAAGGGCATTCTACTGCCAATGTTTGTCTCTGGAGATTGCATGGCTGTGTGCTCGATTTTATACACCTGTCAGCAACAGGTGTTGCTGAAATTGCTGAATCCACTAATTTGAAGGGGTGTCCACATACTTTTGTATATATAGTGTATGTCTGCTGCAGAGAGACAAGGGGGAGCCATGAGAAAACAAGTTTTGATCAGTCATGGAATTAAACGTGCTGGAAACAAATTGGCTCCCTATTTAAAAAGAAAATGGAGAACAAGCTATGATGGAAAAATACTGGAGTTTTTGTGCAAGTACAGCCAACTAGCGCAAAAATAATATTGCGACATTGTCAAAACGAGATGATATATCGTCAAAAATAATATCCCGATATGTGTGTGTTTCCTACACTCGGGCAGCTGGATGTGGGCCAGTGGGGCGCTGAGTTTCTCCCCAGCGTCCTGGTTGATCTCCCGGGGAGGTGCGGTGAGGGGGAGGTGTGTGCTCTGCTTGGCCAGGCTGGGCTGCTGCAGCTGCACTGGCAAGGGAATCGGGGTACCGTCTGCAGGGATCTAAGCCCTGACGTAATGGAGCAGGAATCCAATTCCCACCAGAGCCAAGAGCCCAGTGCAGCCAAGAGGATCATTTGAAACTGCTGCTGTAGTATGTGCACGCACAGTCAAGCCCACACACTCAGGGGCTCAGTATAGGGGCTGTCCCCACTTGCACCCCCCTCAATAGGCAAAGGGAAGGATTGCTTTCAGCTGTTCCATAAGCTGCAGAGAAAGTGCTGACTTTGAATCTGTTCTTTCAGACATTCAGCTTGGTTTTCAGCACTGAAAGTTGCAAATAAAACTTTACAAATTAAATTTGGGTCGAAGGGTATCTTGATCAGTAACTGAGGAAGAAACTCAGGGAATTTATTATTTCCAAATGAACTGATAACCTAGTGCTTTCCTTGCACAATTCAAGCCATGGGCTATCTCTGCAACATAATAGAAATTATGGATCCCTCTTTTGCTTCATAGTAGAATATGTGCATGAACTGTTAGAAATGAATGCATTTGTAGGCATGATTAGGCCTATGTGTATGGACTGTTGTTTTGCAGCAGTGTCCTTCACTGATGATGAGAAGGAGCAGCTGAGGAAATTTACCAACCATTCCTACTTCCTGGACAAGAAGTCTCGTTTCCAGGTGTGGCTCAGCCTGGTGGACATCATCCTGGCATACTGCTACGAAGTGCGCACTACAGCGGGAGAGCACAACGTGAGTCAGCGACCGACAAGAGATAGTCACATTGCAGTTAGCCTTGAATGACAAATCTCTATCCTCCATGGGCTTACACCAAGATCCTATAGGGATCTTGAGAGTTTTATGTTGTCTTACTGTCACTAACCTTGTCTTGTCTGTTGGAAGTAGATGTTTAAGTGATAATACCAGAGAAGCCTGTGTTTGGAGGATGTATTGGTATGAGTGTTGTTCGCAAACCGTGCCAATATATCCTCCGAACACTGCCTTCGAGGGCATAATCACTTTTAACAACCGGTTACCGACATTCAAATAATGATTGACATGCTTTCATTAAAAAGGTTATTTTGATGAATTTATTCATACTATTTCATCCTTCCACGAGATCTAGTCCAGACACAAATCTAGGGTTGCTACCCAAGCCGGCTGGTCGTTTATTCTATCGGTTAGTTTGCCAGAGACGCGACCCAGTCTTAGTCTTTTTGTTCCCAGTCGTTCGTTCTAAATGTTACGTTGCCATGATGGCTGGCAATGTTCTTATCCCTTGCTTGCTAGCTAGCCAACAACGGCTAACACAGTCACGTCAAACAGTGCTGCCAGAATAACAGCAAAGTAGCTGCATTTACGTTTGTTTAAGCTGTTTTCTAGTGACATTTATTTGGATTCATCCATAGCAATGAGCTAATGATGCGCGATTTCGCTTGGCATAGAACATTTGCTCTCTCACTAGGACACTAGCTGTGTAGGAGCTAGCCAACTACACATCTAACAATCACTTCAAACTGGAAAGACTGCAAGCTAGCTGCATTTCGTTTAGTTTGATCAGATTTTCTGTTAACATTTCTTTGTATATATCCATAAAAATTATACTGAATCATGATTTCGACTGGTTGAGAAAATCTGCCTGCCTGTCGGTCTCGTCCCGAATCATGACACGTTCATTAATATGGGACAACTGGATATCAAATGTCAATATTGAAACAGTTTTGCTAATGTCCGAGAGATGGACAGCAAGGTTTATCAAAAACTCTGTGGTTGAAAACCAAATGCTAGTCTGAAAGAAAGTGGAGATAATGTCCAGATGCTTTTTTACAGTGGAGATTAAGTTTATAAATTGCCTGGTTGGGTTGATGAGACGGTGAATTGCCCAGTAAGCTGGAGAAGTAAATAGGCATTTCAACGTCATAGCCTTAGCTGCTGGTAACTTGTGGAATAGACACCGGCTGGAACGCGGTTTTAACCAATCAGCATCCAGGATTAGCAGCTTTGACACAACATTTATTTTTACTGCTCTAATTACGTTGGTAACGAGTTTATAATAGCAATCAGGCACCTCAGGGGTTTGTAGTATATGGCCAACATACCACGGCTAAGAGCTGTATCCAGGCACTCCACGTTCCGTCGCGCATAAGAATAGCCCTTAGCCGTGCTATATTGGCCTAATACCACACCCCCTTGGGCCCTATTGCTTAAATAAAGGTCTACTATGGGAGATTGTGTGGTTAGACCATACATGTCATGTTCACATATTCATGTGTTTATATACATCATTGGGTCAGACCCAGAGCTGTAATTCTTAGTACTGCCGTAAACACATACTTTAGACAGCAACCTGTGAAATCATCTGTGAACGTTCTTTTAACATCTGGGGTGTTACGGCCTGATACTCCCTAGTGATTCTGGAACAGTCTGCTTTTCCAGAGATCGTGTTGTAAGGTATCTATAATGGACACTAGGGACTGAGTATTTTAGAGAGTGTGCCCTGAGTTTGCCTGTTATTGGTATCATTGCTTTCTCATGTGTTGTAGGCCCACCTTGAATCTCTAAAGTGCGTGTAGAAATTTACCTCTGACCTCTCATTATATGACTGCAGGTTGAATCACCGTGGACCATCAGAAAACTCAGTGGGACTCTCTGCTGGCTTGAGGTAAGTCATAGGGAGGCAGTCCCTATTTAAGTCAATTAATGTCAAATTATCATGGAATAATAAATGCCTTAGTATGAGCTTCGGCACTGCTTCCCTATACTGGCTATTTTTAGCTTAAGGGCCCTTTCTTGATCTAAAGGCTTTTATTGATCTAAATGTGTGTGCTCCAGCCGCTGACCGAGGAAAGCTCTCAACCAGGCCTAGGAAATTGCCACGTGATTGAGTTTGCTGCAGCTGGGTGGAGAGCTTATATAAAAAATATAAACGCAATATGTAAAAGGTTTGTCACATGTTTCATGAGCTGAAATAAAAAATTCCAGAAACTATTACATTTTACATTTGAGTCATTTAGCAGACGCTCTTATCCAGAGCGACTTACAGTTAGTGAGTGCATACATTTTTTCATACTGGCCCCCCGTGGGAATCGAACCCACAACCCTGGCGTTGCAAGCGCCATGTTCTACCAACTGAGCTACACAGGGCCCATTTCTCCTTTGCCAAGATAATCCATCCACCTGACAGGTGTGGCATATCAAGAAGCTGATTAAACAGCATGATCATTACACAGGTGCTCCTTGTGCTGGGGACAATAATAGGCCACTCTAAAATGTGCTGTTTTGTCACACAACACCATGCCACAGATGTCTCAAATTTTGAGGGAGCATGCAATTGGCATGCTGACTGAATGAATGTCCACCAGAGCCTTTGCAAGAGAATTGAATGATCATTTCTCTACAATAAGCTGCCTCTAACATCATTTTTGAGAATTTGGCAGTACGTCCAACTGACCTTACAACCGCAGACCACGTGTAACCACGCCGGCTTCTTCACCTGCAGGATTATCTGAGAGGGGGTGGGGGGGAGTGCGGAGGAGTATTTCTGTCTGTAATGAAACCCTTTTGCGGGAAAAAAACCTCATTCTGATTGGCTGGGCCTGGCTCCCCAGTGGGTGTCCAAACTTTTCACTGTGTGTATATATATACATATACATAGATGTACAGAGGCCCATTATCAGCAACCATCAGTCCTGTGTTCCAATGGCACATTGTGTTTGCTAATCCAAGTTTATCATTTGAAAAGGTCATTAGAAAACCCTTTTGCAATTATGTTAGCACAGCTAAAAACTGTTGTGCTGATCTAATGAAGTAATAAAACAGGCCTTCTTGAGACTAGTTGAGTATCTGGAGCATCAGCAATTGTGGATTCGATTACAGGCTCAAAATGGCCAGAAACAAATAACTTTTTTCTGAAACTCGTCAGTCTATTCATGTTCTGAGAAATAAAGGCTATTCCATGTGAAAAATTGCCAAGAAACTGAAGATCTCGTACAACGCTGTGTACTACTCCCTTCACAGAACAGCGCAAACTGGCTCTAACCAGAATAGAAAGAGGAGTGGGAGGCCCCGGTGCACAGCTGAGCAAGAGGACAAATACATTAGAGTGTCTAGGTTGAGAAACAGATGCCTCACAGGTCCTCAACTGGCAGCTTCATTAAATAGTACCCGCAAAACACCAGTCTCAATGTCAACAGTGAAGAGGCGACTCCGGGATGCTGACCTTCTAGGCAGAGTTGCAAAGAAAAAGCCATATCTCAGACTGGCCAATAAAAAGAAAATATTAAGATGGGCAAAAGAACACAGACACTGGACAGAGGAAGATTGGAAAAAAGTGTTATGGACAGACAAATCAAAGTTTGCGGTGTTCGGATCACAAAGAAGAACATTTGTGAGACGCAGACCAAATGAAAAGATGCTGGAGGAGTGCTTGATGCATCTGTCAAGCATGGTGGAGGCAATGTGATGGTCTGGGGGTGCTTTGGTGGTGGGAGATTTGTACAGGGTAAAAGGGGTATTGAAGAAGGAAGGCTATCACTCCATTTTGCAACGCCAAACCCTGTGGACGGCGCTTGATTGGAGCCAATTTCCTCCTACAACAGGACAATGAACCAAAGCGCAGCTCCAAACTATGCAATATTTAGGGAAGAAGCAGTCAGCTGGTATTCTGTCTATAATGGAGTGACCAGCAAAGTCACCGGATCTCAACCCTATTGAGCTGTTGTGGGAGCAGCTTGACTGTGTGGTACGTAAGAAGTGCCCATCAAGCCAATCCAACTTGTGGGAGGTGCTTCATGAAGCATGGGGTGAAATCTCTTGAGATTACCTCAACAAAGGTCTGCAAGGCTGCAAATGGAGGATTATTTGACGAAAGCAAAGTTTGAAGGACACAATTATTATTTCAATTAAAAATCATTATTTCTAACCTTGTCAATGACTACATTTCATTTTCAAACTAATTTCATGTATGTTTTCATGGAAAACAAGGACATTTCTAAGTGACCCCAAACTTTTGAACGATTGTGTGTGTGTCTATACACACACACGCACACACAGTGCATTCGGAAAGTATTCAGACCCCTTGACTTTTCCACATTTTGTTATGTTACAGCCTTATTCTAAAATTGATTAAATAAAACATTTTCCTCATCAATCTACACACAATACCCCATAATGACGAAGTGAAAACCGGTTTCTATAATTGTTTTGCTAATATATACAAAATGTAATACATAAATACCGTATTTACATAAGTATTCAGACCCTTTGCTATGAGACTCGAAATTGAGCTCAGGTGCATCCTGTTTCCATTGATCATCCTTGAGATGTTTATACAACTTGATTGGAGTCCACCTGTGGTAAATTCAATTGATTGGACATGATTTGGAAAGGCACACCTGTCTATATAAGGTCCCACAGTTGACAGTGCATGTCAGAGCAAAAACCAAGTCATGAGGTCGAAGGAATTGGGTCAGGATTGTTTCGAGGCACAGATCTGGGGAAGGGTACCAAAACATTTTTGCAGCATTGAAGGTCCCCAAGAACACAGTGGCCTTCATCATTCTTAAATGGAATAAGTTTGGAACCACCAAGACTATTCCTAGAGCTTGCCGCCCGGCCAAACTGAGCAATCTGGGGAGAAGGAACTTGGTCAGGGAGGTGACCAAGAACCCGATGGTCACTCTGACAGAGCTCCAGAGTTCCTCTGTGGAGATGGGAGAACCTTCCAGAAGGACAACCATCTCTGCAGCACTCCACCAATCAGACCTTTATGGTAGAGTGGCCAGACGGAAGGCACTCCTCAGTAAAAGGCACATGACAGCCTGCTTGGAGTTTGCCAAAAGGCACCTAAAGGACTCTCAGACCATGAGAAACAAGATTCTCTGGTCTGATTAAACAAATATTGTGGCCTGAATGCCATGTGTCACGTCTGGAGGAAACCTGGGACCATCCCTATGGTGAAGGTTGGTGGTGGCAGCATCATGCTGTGGGGATGTTTTTCCGCGGCAGGGACTGGGAGACTAGTCAGGATTGAGGGAAAGATGAACGGAGCAAAGTACAGAGAGATCCTTGATGAAAACCTGCTCCAGAGCGCTCAGGACCTCAGACTGGGGCGAAGGTTCACCTTTCCAACAGGACAATGACCCTAAGCACACAGCCAAGACAACGCAGGAGTGGCTTCGGCACAAGTCTCTGAATGTCCTTGAGTGGCCCAGCCAGAGCCCGGACTTGAACCCGATCGAACATCTCTGGAGAGACCTGAAAATAGCTGTGCAATGACGCTCTCCATCCAACCTGACAGAGCTTGAGAGGATCTGCAGAGAAGAATGGGAGAAACTCCCCAAATACAGGTGAGCCAAGCTTGTAGCGTCTTACCCAAGAAGACTCGAGGCTGTAATCGCTGCCAAAGGTGCTTCAACAAAGTACTGAGTAAAGGGTCTGAATACTTATGTAAATATATTATTTCAGTTTTAAATTTTTTATACATTTGCTAAAATGTCTAAAAAATTGTTTTTGCTTTGTCAATATGGGGTATTGTGTGTAAATTGAGGGAAAAAACGATTGAATCAATTTTAGAATAAGGCTGTAACGTAACAAAATGTGGAAAAAGTCAATGGGTCTGAGTACTTTCCGAATGCACTGTATATAAACAAACTGATATTTGTCATCTCCTACTGGTACACTGGTAGCTCATTGTTTTGTAGAGGAAGAGAAGGCTAGGTTATAGCTATGACAATTGGTACCTCTTAGGTTTGTGTGTGTGTGTGTGTGTGTGTGTGTGTGTGTCAAAGAGGTAGCAGTATTAAGGTGTGCCCCGGGGCTGTGAACAGGCCCAGCTGTGTGCTCCCAACTGACAGACAGACGGAGAGAGAGTGAGATGGCCGTCTGCTCGCCGATCAATGGTGTGTGTGTGTGTGTGGGCACTAGAGAACAGCGCAGCAGGGCGTGTGTGCTGCTCGTCTTACACCTTGGGATGTGCGAGCCCCTTAATCCCTGGCATTTTCCCTGTGAACCTGACAATGAGGGCTGGTAATCGGACACCGCAGTCTGAGTCTGAGAGGTAGCAGTTTGGCCATAATGTTGATAATGAAGGAGGTGTTAATGACATCCTGCAGCTGCCTAAAAGCCCTCGTCAATAGAGCTGTCTGTCTGGGAGAGACTGACGGGATGCCTTCTCTCAGCTGCTCTCTCTCTCTCTCATCCGCCCACTCGCTCTCTCTCATCCGCCCACTCGCTCTCTCTCTCTCTCATCCGCCCACTCGCTCTCTCTCTCTCTCTCATCCGCCCGCTCGCTCTCTCTCTCATCCGCCCACCCTGCTCTCTCTCTCTCTCATCCGCCCACTCGCTCTCTCTCTCTCATCCGCCCACTCGCTCTCTCTCTCTCATCCGCCCACTCATTTCTCTCTCTCTCATCCGCCCGCTCGCTCTCTCTCTCTCTCTCATCCGCCCGCTCGCTCTCTCTCTCTCTCATCCGCCCGCTCGCTCTCTCTCTCTCTCATCCGCCCGCTCTCTCTCTCTCTCTCTCATCCGCCCGCTCGCTCGCTCTCTCTCTCATCCGCCCGCTCGCTCTCTCTCTCTCATCCGCCCGCTCGCTCTCTCTCTCTCATCCGCCCGCTCTCTCTCTCTCTCTCTCATCCGCCCGCTCGCTCTCTCTCATCCGCCCGCTCGCTCTCTCTCATCCGCCTGCTCGCTCTCTCTCTCTCTCATCCGCCCGCTCGCTCTCTCTCTCTCATCCGCCCGCTCGCTCTCTCTCTCTCATCCCGCCCTCTCGCTCTCTCTCTCTCTCCCCTCCGCTCTCCTCTCTCTCATCTCTCTCCTCCTCTGCTCGCTCTCTCTCTCATCCGCCCGCTCGCTCGTCTCTCTCTCTCATCCGCCCGCTCTCTCTCTCTCTCTCATCGCCGCTCGCTCCTCTCTCTCTCATCCGCCCGCTCTCCTCTCTCTCACGCTTCCCTCCTCTCGCTCGCTCCTCTCTCTCATCCGCCCTCTCTCTCTCTCTCTATTCCGCCCGCTCGCTCGCTCTCTCTCTCATCCGCCCGCTCGCTCTCTCTCTCTCACCGCCCCTCCTCCCTCTCTCTCATCCGCCCGCTCCTCTCTCTCATCCGCCTCTCTCATCTCTCTCCGCTCGCTCCTCTCTCTCTCTTCATCCGCCCGTCTCCGCTCGCTCTCTCTCATCCGCCCCTCCGCGCTCTCTCTCTCTCATCCGCCCGCTCGCTCTCTCTCTCTCATCCGCCCGCTCGCTCCCTCTCTCTCTCTCTCATCCGCCCGCTCGCTCGCTCATCTACTCTTTTGCTCATTATCGCTTTTGCTCTCATTCTCTCTCTAACCCTCTCCCTTACAAGGTCTCTTTTCCCCGTCTTTATTCTCCCTCCCCCTTGTCTCACTCTCACCCGTATCTCTCTCTTTTCCCCTCCCTCCCTCGCTCCATCTGCTAGCTGTTAACCAGCCTCCTAACCAGACAGACCAGGTTGGTGGTTGTTGTGCGGCTGAGTCTTATTTACAACCAGGCTGCTAAACAGCCCCGGGGGAGAGGGGATGAGCCCTGATGACATGCAACGAGTCACGCTCTCGCTCTGAGCGCACTTTTAACACGCTAGGGAGACTGAATAAAAAGAGTGCTCTCTCTCTCTCTCAGCTCTTTTGTCCACCGTTGCAGAGAAAAGCAGAGAAAAGCCTTGAGTTAACGCGGTGATTAAGGACCAGCAACAATTAAAGGCGGCGGCTGCAGAAGGTGTTTAAGAGTTCCTCGCCTTTTTCCCCCTCTATGAAAGGGAAGTTGTTAGGAGTAATTAGTTTACCAATGACTGCAATTAGGAGTGGGCTAGCCTAGCCTGCTTAGTGCTGGAGGGAAGGAGAAAAGCAAGAGGCTGCCAAGCATATTAAGAGGAAGTGAAGTCCCTTTATCTTGTTTTGTAACATTAGTCTTTTTATAGTGGGTGGCCATGAGGAAAATGCAGCATGTCTTTTTGTTGTTGCCTTTCAGACTTACAGCTCGTTGCAGGAGGTCCTGGTGTCCTTTGGGAGGAGGGTGTTGTGTTACCCGCTCTACAGGCACTTTGCCCTGGTCTCTGCAGCCGTGCAGGATGCGGCTCGGATCTTCCAGTCAGGTGAGTCTAGACTGCCCTCTGTGACCTCTCACCCCTGACCTGAGGCAGCCAGGCACCGCCACACCTCAAAGGCCCCTTTGTGCACGCTGGTTAGAGCTATTGGCAGCCTCCGTGTCATGGCCAAATTATAAAGCCCTCAATACGGCCTTGTTTCCCCCCCAATGAATATGTCTCTGGACTGTTTTCTGAGACTCCTGAGGGACATTATGCGGTTTGATGCATTTCTGTTGGAAGGCAAAGCCTGCATGGTAGCTGTGGGCTGCAGCTTGTCTGTTCAGTGCTTTGGAGACTGACAGAAAGACTGCTTTACAGCCAGCATGCACCCACAGTCATACATCACCATACCACCACAAGCAGAGCAACCTCTCCAAGCTGGAAGTGTGGATTTGTTCTATACGGACTGTTGACTTTGATATCTCCTAGCAAAGAGTAATCATTAAATCAAAGCCCCGCAGGTAGCTAAATGAGGCTCTGCTATGTAAACACATTTAGGATGTGTGTGGGGTGAGATTACCCGGTTTGTGGGGATTTGAACGCTTGTAAATGACGGCAAATTAAAGGTATTTTAAGCACCAGATTACATTTCTGCGCCTCGTTAGGTAAGGAGATGAGTAGATCAGACTGGCTGAGGGAATCAGAGAATCCCAGGTAATCACTGAAGGGGGATTCCTTGTACTACGCTACACTATATACCTTCATCCTCTAGAAACAAACACAACTTCACCTGTTATAGCCTAATGAAGCTTTTCAATCTCTCACCTGACGCTGGACATTTGTTCAACAGTCGCATACCCATTTTGTTTCTGTGCTGGAAAATGCAAACTAGCCTAACTGGTGATCGTTGGTCTAAGCAGGCCAACAATTGCAAGTGTCATTTAAATGAGTTTGCCTCTGCAATGTTCTTTATTTACGTGCATCAGGTGAGTGAGAGTGAGTAATGGGGCTCTCGTTAATGAACTGTAAAGCTACAGTAATGCAGGCTGGCTGGCGTACGTCTGAGAAGGCACAACGCGTTTCCTCCACACCGCTAATTCATTTGTCAGGATAAAGCTAATGGAATGTGTGCTCTAATTTAAGGCACTTGATTTAAATGGCTGTGAAAGCAAACATTGGTAGGTATTAGGAAAACTAACCCATTAATGCCTTGTGGGAGCCACACGTTAAGGCCCTAAAGGAAATGTTATCCGGGGTAAATATTTGAACAGCCCTCTGGCAGCACGGACGCTCCTTCTCAAGGAGCTCATCCAGCTGCTCGCTAAGTGGCTGGAACCAATGGGCCACCAGGCAGGGAGAGCGGAGCAGGGCCTCCTGGGTAGGGAGGTAGGGAGGGTTTAGCATGGCCGCTGTCGTGTAGCTGACTGAAGGACCCACTGGAGTTGGGTAGCCTATACTGAGCCGGAAATGTTCCGGAATTGCGGTTCCTCTGTGTAGCTTAACTGCGTTTCCCTGTGTCATGTTTTTACTTGTCCCTTGGCTTTGTAACATTTAGCTGACTATAATTTAGCAGCACTCTACTTCAATATGACACTAGAAAGAGTTTGAGTCGCCACTGTAATGAGCTAGTACAGTAGGCTATGTATGCTGTTGGAGTGCACATGGCCCTCCCAGTAGTTGAAACACTTGAAGTGTTCTGTTACCATGTACAGTGTGGTAGTGATGCCAATTGAATGTTTTCTGCGCAGCATTAGGAATGCACATGCAGTGTTTGGAATGTGTGTACACTTGACTACAGTGTATAAATGTGTTGCCTATGCTGTGTTGTCACCTTGCCATGATGGATGTTAGTGGCCAGTGCCCCTGTGGCAGCTGTGTTGCTGTGCCCATGCACCTCCCTCCCAGGCCAGACTCTTCCTGCCTGTCTGTCTGCCCCTCTCCAGGGATCAGCCACGGCTCGCCACCAACGTGTTTAACTGGCTCAACTTGTCATCAGTGTGAAAAACAGACGAGTGCAGGATTCAAAACATGGCATGGTTGGAGGTGAAACAAAATCACTGTCTCCATCGCTCCCAGGAAGATAGAGAGAGAAAAGTAAAACCTCCAGGGATGTGGGGGGGTGCCTTGAGTTTGGAAGCAGGGAGAGGAGAGCTGTGTCTCTGTGCTCTGGGTCCTGGCCCTGGTCCTGGAGTTGGAAGCTGAGCTCTCCGCTCTCTCTGCACCCTCTGTGAGCGCTCATGCTCTAAATGAGAACCAAATGTTTGTTTAAGGTGTGCTGTTTATTTTGAATGGACTGGAATGTCTCTGGCTGTTGCCAGCCAATCCTGGAGGTGGATACTGGACAGGAGGATCGTCTGTAGACCTCCGTGCTCTGCAATGGGCCAATTGTGTCCCACCAAGGGGCTATTTATATGCCTGGGTTTTGTGGCAGCAAATGTTATGGATCAAACGTGGCTCCCTCCAGGTGTGTCCCTTTTTGTAATGGTAATCTTTGGCTTTCCCTTTGAGGGAAATCAGGCCAATTATCTTTTTCATAAACCGGTATGAAATTAACCGTTTTGTGTTATCTTGGCCCACTTGAGTTGCATTTCTGGACTATATGGACTAGATAAAGGGGACCTGAAAGTTGATTAATTGCTCTCTCTGTCATGTGTGTAAATGACTGTCAGTGGTCTGAAATAGTATGCTCACATGATCTCCCATAGCCTGTTCAGCCTATAGTTTGAAGGAAGGCTGTATGGAACAATGAGACTGTAAGCCTTTAGGAACTGCTGTCCCTGCTAGCAACATTGCTATATTTGACCATTCCTCACATTGCCATAGAATAATACCGTTTTTCAATTTCTACTCCTTCTGTTTTTCCTGTCCAGGGAAAGCCTGTGTCCTGAAGTGCTTGTTGGATATTCACAAAGTCTTCCGGGAGAATGAGCCGGCCTACATATTGAATGACCTCTACATCACAGACTACTGCATATGGATCCAGAGGGTCAAGTAAGTCCACTACCCCCCTTCCTCTATCGCTCTCTGCAGGGACCTTCAGCCCTAGAGCATAATTACCTCCCAGGTCCAGAGGCCAAGCAAAGTGGCTCTCAGCTCTCATGATGCTTCAATGCGCTGCACTGGAGGAGAGGATTAGACAAGTAATTTGTCACAGCACGGCCACTTGACTGACAGAGCCATTGTGAGACGTATCCATTCTCCCTTGTCAAATGTGTCGTTGGAGAGTGTGTGGACTGTACTGTCTCCCTCAGTGCTGCAGTGGAGTCCCAGTGAATCATTCGCTGACTGAGACTGAAGCCTCTGTGACAGTACACAGATGAGGAGAAGCAGATGGACAGTGCACTGTGCAGTACAAGATGTGTGTCAACTCGAGAGAGATCTGTGTAGTTTCTTCCCTATTTGATATAGCATGCATGGCTCTTTCCTCACCCTTGTACATATTTTACAATTACTTACACATTGAAAATGTAATCCTGCAAGCGCATTATTCGGTAATGAGCTCTGTTTTACTCATGGCAGGGGTTCAGCCGAGTGGTGTGCTAGTCTGGAAAAAGCCAGATGAAAAGTGTGTGCCAGTGATGATGTAGGCCCAGCGCCCAGATGCAGACATGATAACAGCTCTGCCGGGTGTTTGATGGAGCTTTTCTCTCTGGAAAAGAAAACGCCTCGACGGCCAATTTAATAATAGATGTGTAAAAATCAATGGTGGAGAGCTGCAGTCCCTGTCGGTCGGTCTGTCTGTTTCGCTGCAGCAGACGAAGAGAACGGAGTCTTGGTCTTAAGTGCTTTCTCTCTCAGCTCAGCGTACGCTTTGAGCAGCAGCAGAGCAGCAGCACTGTCAAGCCACTGGAAAACTCAATCAGTCTCATTTCAGTCAGAGTCAAGGAGATGAAATGGCAGAAGGGCTTTCCAATCCAGCTCCCTTCCCTCCACCGCTGTACATTGGAGCCAAATGTCAGCTTGACCTATCAACAAGCTGGCTTCCACTGGCTGAAACCCCGCATCAATAATGAAATGGATTAGTCCTCGTGCTCGCCTGTGATTGAATTGTTACATTTCCCTTTTCTGTTTACGTATTTCAGTCGATAAACAAAGCTAAGCTTTTTTTCTTTCTGCCCTGAGACCTGGCTCATATCAGCTGTGGTATCAGCAGAGACAGAGGCTGTCCAGCATCCAGAAAGAGTTACTAACCCTCTCCTGTTGAAGATGCAGCCTCAGGGCACCTGGCTGGGAAAACCTCTAGAGCCCGGACATTCCATTTCATTTTGTTGCTGTGAATCTATTCCCAGATAGACATTTCATACCTTTTATTTATTGTTGTGCTGCACAGACTACATATCTTTCCCTTCTGAATGTGTAATAAAAGAGAGCAGTCCACTTGCCATTCAAAGCAGCAGAGAGAGGAAATCTGTCTTTCTTTGAGCTAGCAGGCATTTACATAAAAATTTAAATAAATAATTTAGCAGACTCTTTTATCCAGAACGACTTACATTAGTGCATTCACGGTGAGAACATATCCCAATCGTAGCAAGTATGGTGTGGGATTTATTTAAGATACTCTTTAAAGAGGTAGGGAAGATGGGAAGGGACTCCTCTGTCCTGACATTAGGGGGAAGCTTGTTCCACCATTTGGGTGCCAGGACAGAGAAGAGCTTTGACTGGGCTGAGCGGGAACTGCCCTCCTGTAGGGGTGGGAGGGCCAAGAGACAAGAGGTGGCAGAACGGAGTGCTTGGGTTGGGGTGTAGGGTTTGACCATAGCCTGAAGGCAGTTCCCTTTGCTGCCCCGTAGGCAAGCACCAGGGTCTTGAAGATGATGCAAGCTTTGACTGGAAGCCAGTGGAGTGTGCGGAGGACCGGGGTGACATGGGAGAGCTTGGGAAGATCGAACACCAGGCGTGCTGCAGCGTTCTGGATAAATTGAAGGGGTTTGCTGGCACAAGCGGGGAGCCCAGCCAACAGAGTTGCAGTAGTCTAGATGGGAGATGACAAGGCAGGCAGGCAGCACTCTAGCAACAGCCAGCTGTGGTTTGCATAGACAGTGCTCTTATCACTTGTGGTTTGTTGTGGCAGACGTTTGTGCCTGTGACCGGTTTGATGACAGATTGTATAAGCATTGTTCTCCTCCCTGCTAGATATCCCCCATGACGGATTTGTCATTCCTGCTAAGTGATTTGTCTGTCTGTCCCTGTGAGTCCTGTGGTAAGATAAGATGTAATCTATATCTTGTATCTTGTCAATCCTCCCCACAGTCAACTCCCAGACACGATCAGCCGCTCATGATGGACACAGCGATTTATGAATGCGTTGCTCGGTGGGTTGATTTATACTGTCTGGCTCTCTCTGGGTTGTGCCACATGCGTTCATGCTCTTAAAGTCCCTCTGACTGCTGAGACCAGAGTCAAATTTACAGCATCATAAAGACTTCACAGTGACTTAGACTCCAGTGAAACCCTCTCCCTCCACAGACTCACGCACACAGACAAGTGGACAGTCCACTCTCCAGTCAACAGGAGGAGTATGAGGGTGGAGAAATCATTCTGACACCATTTTCTATTTGTCCTGATAAAGTGTTTACCAAAGAGGATTATTAATGTGCTTACAACAGTTTCCACATTACCCAGGGAATTTGTGTAATTTACAGATATCTATGTATCATCAGATACATTGCCACTAGCAAATAGAAACACCTCTTTACCATTTGTTTCAATGGGTGGTTTTGATGATCCTCCGATGCCAAACCCCTGCAATGTTGCAAGACTGAAATGAAAACCCAGTCCTCATTTTCTTTCTCGGCCTTTCCTGTTCTTCTCTCATCAAAAGGCTTGGAAGGAGTCAAATGTAGATTGACTGGAACCACTGAACAGTCCAACAAATCAGATCAGTGTTGTGTTACTGTATCTCAGTGAAATCAGCAGGCCTCTAACTTCCCCTTCCTCTTTCAGCACTCACACATTCCTCCCCCTCTACCCGTTGTCTGCCGCACAATCAATTAATTGGGTCAATTTAATTCCAGAGCAAAAACCATGGCAACCTGTGAGTGTCGAGCTCAAGGGTTTGCTAGTCTTGGAGGAGGAAACAAGGATATTGTTCTCTCTCACTCACACCCATCCATTCAGCCTCTACACACATTGTGTGCATGACAATGCCCAGAGGAGAGCTCTCCTCTCCACAGTCCCAGGAGGCCCTCAGGGGACACGGGCTCCCCACAGGGACAACCTGCTGCTGCTATAACTAGGCCCCCCCCCCCCCCCCCCCCCTCGGCAAGGTCAATGGTCAGTTAAGTGGGTCGGTTAAGCCTTTGGGGTCTGGCTGGTGGTTTTAATGCTACAGGGACTGGCAACTCAGTGTCCAGTGGGTGTGCAGGTGCACTGAGGTTATTTTAGGAATGGCAAATTGCTTGTTGGACAGTTTTATGTTGTTGTTATTCTTAGAAATGGCGGAATGCAGGTGAAAGAGCTTTGGATACATTTTCCCTGGTTGTAATCCTTTTCATGCAGCTGCTAGTGTACTCTACCCACACTCATCTGTCTGGAGCCTGTCCTGTCCTGGGTCCTGTGATGTAGTAGATAGATGGTGTACACTGAGTATACTGAACATTAGGAACACCTTCCTAATATTGAGTTGGACTCTTCAAGGTGTCGACAGCGTTTCACAGGGATGCTGGCCCATGTTGACTCCAATGCTTCCCACAGTTGTGTCAAGTTGGCTGGATGTCCTTTGGGTGGTGGACCATTCTTGATACACACGGGAAACTGTTGAGCGTGAAAAACCTAGCAGCGTTGCAGTTCTTGACACAAACCGGTGCGCCTGGCACCTACTACCATACCTCGTTCAAAGGCACTTAAATATTTTGCCTTGCCCATTCATCCTCTGAATGGCACACATACAAAATCCATGTCTTAATTGTCTCAAGGCTTAAAAATCCTTCTTTAACCTGTCTCCTCCCCTTCATCTACACTGATTTGAAGTGGATTTAACAAGTGACATCAATTAGGAATCATAGTTTTCACCTGGTCAGTCTATGTCATGGAAAGAGAAGGTGTTCTTAATGTTTTGTGTACTCAGTGTATATGGTCTGTGTGTTTTGAGCCCTCCCCACCACAGAGACAGTAGATAGTCTCTGTGCCCCGCTGGGCTCAACAAATGCAAGACTGTCTCACAACTAACGGGGAGAAGTACTACAGATATCCTCTCTGCATGACGTCCAGATTTTGTATACTTACACAGGCAGCCCACCACACACGCAGAGAGAGAAACACAAACAGTGTTGTTACATCAGTGGTACACTAATAAGGAATGATGCAGCCTTGCTTTATGAGGCAACTTCCTCTCCTTGTGTCCTTGTTTTGAATAGGAGGGTAGGTAAACAACAAGCTCTGCAGGCAGTTCTACCAGGTCTCTTCATGTTGCACATGAACTAATGGTCTCTCTATACAGTAAGAAAGCACTTCCTTAAATTACAATCCCTACTGTGTTATATAGGCTAATGCAGGGGTGTCAAACATACGGGTTGTTTGAATTTTTTGGGGGGGAGGGGGGAAACAAACTCGATATACTTAAAAATAACTCTAACCAAATCGAAACTGTGTAGAAATGATAATGGACCTACATTTATATAGTTTCTTGACTGTGTCCAGCTCACTAATAATAATCTAAATGAAAGCTAGACAGTCAGGGAGCATCGAAAATTCCAAAAACAATGGATAGAGGACTATTCTTTGCCAATTTTGACGGCGAGGAATTTTTCAGTGCGGCCCTCCGGAACCCCTGGCCTAATGCCTCTGACACAGGTCTTCAGTGTTACTCACACACTCCGTCACACACTACATGACACATTTCATCACACACTCCCTCAAACACTCCATCAAACTCAGTAAGTCAGGAAATCCAAGCATCCATTTATAAGTCTTTCAGCCTTATAAAACAGGCCTACTTGTCACAAGCAACTACCGTCTACGTTTTGTCCCATAAATTAGATATTGGACAAATCAAATGGCATACAGTTAGCAAACACAATGTCTGACTGTCCATCCACAACATCAATTGAATAATGTACACTCCCTCGACAAATCTTGTCCATGTGAAATTAATTTGTACATCTAAGATTAACTAAAAAGTCTGAGTAGGAACATGTGTTGAATGAGGCTGATGAAAGAAATGGAAGTCTGTAATTGACTCAGTCTAGTTGTCCTTCTCCCCCACCACCCCCCTGCTCCCTGTCCTCATCTAAGGACTCTTGTGTTTGTTGTCTGACAGATGGAAGCGTCTTTGTGTCGACAGAAGTTTTCCAACCTTGAAAAGCCGCCCCTCAGTTAATGAAGGGAGCCCACAACATTGGTGTAGTAATGACTGAACTGTGTACAACATTATTCCTTCCCTCCAAAAGCAGCCTTTGTACTCACCGCAAGCTGGGCTTCTCGCACCGCAGCGCAGGGAGAGGGGGAGCGAGGGGAGGGAACAAGCACGTAGCCTCTCCAATGCTAACTCAATAATGACTTCCCACGGGGGAAAGAGAATGCGGGAGGAGGGGGATGAAGGAGGGCCTCTGCTTTGAAGTTGCAGTGCTACAGGAGGCTCTCCAGCCAGAACCAGTCAGCCAGCCTGCTCAACTCCAGCAAGGGCTTAACCCATAAGTCTAAGCCCTGTCTATGCAGGGGAGGTTCTACTAAGCTATATGGAATTGTTTTAAGAAGGTCATACCAATGATCATTTAGCTATTTGATTTTGAATTTGAAGACCCCTTGAAGTATAAAAACAATATATAAAACAATTATTTGATGAAAAAAATGTTTTGGCCTTAATAATGTTAGCCCATACAAATGCATTGAATAACAGATTCTCTTCATGGAACAACAGATCGTCCCCCAAAAAATCTCAATAGGAAGTTTGTTCTGAAGTGTCTGTCCTATATCTGAGAGATATAAGAAAGATCAGGAAACATATTTTTATGTATTTAACCTAAACAGTCTCAATATATACACTACTGGTCAAACGTTTTAGAACACCTACTCATTCAAGGGTTTGTCTTTATTTTTACTATTTTCTACATTGTCGAATAATAGTGAAGACATCAAAACTATGAAATAACACATATGGAGTCATGTAGTAACCAAAAAAGTGTTAAACAAATCCAAATATATTTTATATTTCAGATTCTTCAAATAGCCACTCTTTGCCTTGATGACAGCTTTGCACATTCTTGGCAATTTGGACTCATCAGACCAAAGGACAGATTTCCACCAGTTTAATGTCCATTGCTCGTGTTTCTTGGCCCAAGCAAGTCTCTTCTTCTTATTGGTGTCCTTTAGTAGTGGTTTCTTTGCAGCAATTCGACCATGAAGGCCTGATTCACACAGTCCCCTCTGAACAGTTGATGTTGATGTGTCTGTGACTTGAACTCTGTAAAGCATTTATTTGGGCTGCAATTTCTGGGGCTGGTAACTCTAATGAACTTATCTTCTGCAGCAGAGGTAACTCTGGGTCTTCCTTTCCTGTGGCGGTCCTCATCAGAGTCAGTTTCATCATAGCGCTTGATGGTTTTTGCGACTGCACTTGAAGAAACTTTCAAAGTTCTTGAATTTTTCTGTATTGACTGACCTTCATGTCTTTAAAGTAATGATGGACTGTCGTTTCTCTTTGCATATTTGAGCTGTTCTTGCCATAATATGGACTTGGTCTTTTACCAAATAGGGCTATCTTCTGTTTACCACCCCTACCTTGTCACAACACAACTGATTGGCTCAAACGCATTAAGAAGGAAAGAAATTCCACAAATTAACTTTTAAGAAGGCACACCTGTTAATTGAAATGCATTCCAGGTGACTACCCCATGAAGCTGGTTGAGAGAATGCCAAGAGTGTGCAAAGCTGTCATCAAGGCAAAGGGTGGTTAATTTGAAGAATCTCAAATATAAAATATATTTTGATTTGTTTAACTTTTTTGGTTACTACATAATTCCATGTGTTATTTCATAGTTTTGATGTCTTCACTATTATTCTACAATGTAGAAAATAGTAAAAAAAAAAAAAAAAAAAAATTGAATGAGTAGGTGTGTCTAAACCTTTGACTGGTGGTGTACATATACACTTTTCTTTTCAGAACTCAGTCGGGCTCTCCATTTGCTGTTGAGATTTTGAATAGTAGAATACACAAATTAGAAATGTAATTGTCCATCAGCAGTTTTTTTCTTATGTCAGTCTCTGACAGTCACTCAATTAGCCCATGTCAGCTAAAATGTTTTAGATTGATAAGTTAGTCTAGCCAGCTATCTAATCTTGTAGTAATCATGGTCGAATTACCGACCGGTGGACCCCAATTGAATTTGTTAGTCACTCTCACTCAGATATCATATTAAAAACTGCAAACATTTCTTGCCATCCTATGGCAAAATGTAGGGAATTGCAGGAAACTTGCTTTAAAACTGCAATATTTTCTCTACGCCCCATGGCAAAATGTGGAGAGTTGCAGGAAATTTAAATCCTAAACAACAAAAAAAAGTATCCGCTTGCTGTCAGGAGGTGGGGGCTGCTAAAATGTTTTGCTTGCAAGGTGTGGGAGGGGGGCAAAATGGGCCCCCAAAAATGACTGCATGTGTGGGTATGAATATGGGTACCAGACCCGTGAGCCACTGTGGCACCTCTTGATGAGTTCAGATTTTCTACGGTTTCCTTGTTGGGTCTGACTCTCTGCACACGCAGTGGTGGGGGTGTTATTATTGGTTGTATTTATGCCTAGCCATCCCTTACTCATTGTCAGTAGTTGTTCTCCTTTAATTGTTTTGTTTTTCCTCCACACTTTCCAAGTACTGTTACTCCCCCTATTTCCTGAATGGACATTTTATCGGCATATAGGCCTAGGAGAGATGTCTTCTTTGATAGAGTACGACGACTAGCTATACGATCTGTTTACACAGTCTCCCGAGGTCCTAAATGAGTACATCCCTCTATGTTGGCTGTGTAAACGGTTTCATCCCCGGAGTGGGAGCTCATTAAGGCTTTGCGGTAATAAGGAGCCATCTTGGCTCTCAGCGGTGGGTTAATTGGGCCAGGGAGGGCAGCAGGGGCACAGTGTGGCTGAGTGTGAGGAGCTGAATGGCTGTGGACCACCGCAGGCTCATGTGCTTTCTCTCTCCCTGAATGGACCCGTCCTGAGCCGCGCAGAGGTCAGCTGGTAATCATCATGGCAATGAAGGCCGATCGGCTGCACCGTGGAAGAATAGCAGCCACTTGAGTTTTGGCAACATCCTGCGCTGGTTTAGCTTCATGAATAATGTATAAGGCGTGTAGCACTCTGTCATCCGCCTTGCTCTTATCTCCTGCAGGGAGAGCTTCAGTGGGAGACTCGAGGGGCAGAACCTGCATATCAGACACACTCATCTTCCTACATTATTAAACATGATTTCCATATTTCATTGAGCTCATGCCTCCGTGAATCACTGTCTACTTAGCATTCAGATGAAGCTGGAATTTGGGTAATGGATATTAGATTTGTAGATTGAGATCTCGTTGCTATATTTTTTTGTAGGCAGTGCCGTCAGACATATAGCATAGTCGTAATACCTACTACTCATCAAGTGTTGGACAAGTAGCTCTTGAAATAGATTCTGTAGTCTTTTGGGGGATTTGTAAATATTTGCTTCCAAGTTTAAAAAAATAAACTGATCCATATTTGCTGTACTTTCTCATCCCGTCCTGTCTTTCTCTCTCTTTGTCAGGTCCAGGAAGGTGACAGCTCTGGCTGATCCCTTACAAAAAGTGTCCCTACGGAAAAGAGACCTGGAGCTGGAGTTGGAGGTGCTGGAGATGGCGGCGGCGCTGGTAGAGGAAGAAGAGAAGGTGGAGGACGGGGGGAAAAGCTCCAGTAGAACTCTTCAGTCACAGAGCGGAGAGGAGTCCGACAGCGACGACAGTTGCAGCGACTCGTCTGAGGAGAGTGAGGACTCTGAGGCTGAAGGGAAGGACTGTGCTGACAGAACAGAGGGAGGAGCAGGAGGAGGAGAGCGAGCCAAGGCCATCCCCATCCAGCCCCAGCCTGACTACCCTCAATCTCCTGCCCTGGCTGCCCCAGCCTCCCCTTCCATCCACCAGGAGTCCTGTGCTGCTCTCACATCAGCCGAGAGGAAGCCCTGCGCCCTCCCCTCTGCTGTGGCTGGCCCAAGCCAGCTGATCCAGGAGCTGGGAGAGAGGGTGGAGGAGGGGCTGTGGATTTCAGCACAGCCTCAGGGCAGCAGGCATTCCAGGAGCAGTGCACAGAGAGAGGCAGAGAGCGACTGTTCACAGCCTGCCACAGCCACAGCTACTGCCCGCACAGGGACATTCCTAGAGCTGAGTCCTCGCAGAAACCCTCTGCTGATTGTCAAAACAGATACTGGTGACGGTCTTGATGAGGATGATATCGATGAAGATGACTATTAGCAGGTGTCACAGAAAACATTAAGGAACATTACATACATGCATGACAGCTGATGTTGCGGATGCTTATTTGCCCACAGTCAATAATGACTTCTGTATTGTTATTTTTGTATTTTCTAACTTCTAACATGGAAATGTTGATTTTGTTTTTTATGGATACATAGCATGGCTCAGTTTAGTGTTATAGCTCACTTGAGGAGTTTCAAAACCTTACATACTTTGTGTCTATGTGCAAAGTTTTTCATACCAAGCTAAGCATTTTGATAATAAAACTGATTATATGTATTATGCAGATTACTCATGTATTTTCAAGGGGATGCAGCCATTGCGTTGCACTTTGTTTGTAGGCTGTTAGATTAGCATATGCATTTCATGCACAGCCATTTCCTCTCAAGAAAGGAGAAGGTGTGGTTGTTGGGAGATAAGAAACTGGACAGATCCCAACAGGAAATGTCAGCTGCTGCTTCAGAATGTCTTTTGAGACATTGAGTTCTCATGTAGAATGCAGTGACTTTCCCGCCAACACTGGTACACTCCATGGTACCCTGCCAACACTAAAAACGTTTGTTTAAACTCAGATATGTGCTCACACATTGTTACTGTCTGAACTGAAATTACCACATTTGTCTTATTTTGGGATATGAGGAAAATTTGACTGTTAATTACTGGGTACTTGTCATTGTTCATTCAAGTGCTGGGGTATTCAACCAGGGGTCCACGGGCATTCTGCGAATATACATACATGTGGACACTACATGTGGACACTACATATGGAGTTGGTCCCCCCTTTGCTGCTATAACAGCCTCCACTCTTCTGGGAAGGCTTTCCACTAGATGATGGAACATTGCTGCGCGGACTTGCTTCCATTCAGCCACGAGCATTAGTGAGGTTGGGCACTGATGTTGGGCGATTAGGCCTGGCTCGTAGTCTACGTTCCAATTCACCCCAAAGGTGTTCGATGGGGTTGAGGTAAGGGCTCTGTGCAGGCCAGTCAAGTTCTTCCACACCGATCTCGAAAAAACATTTCTGTATGGACCTCGCTTTGTGCACGGGGGCATTGTCATGCTGAGCAGGGAAGGGCCTTCCCCAAACTGTTGCCACAAAGTTGGAAGCACATAATCGTCTGTTGCGTTCGTATGCTGTATCGTTAGAGTTCCCTTCACTGGAACGAAGGGGCCTAGCCCGAACCACGAAACGTGATTCATCACTCCAGAGAACGCGCTTCCAATGCTCAAGAATCCGATGGTGGCGAGCTTTACACCAGTCCAGCTGACGCTTGGCGTTGTGCATGGTGATCTAAGGTTGTGTGTGCGGCTGCTCAGCCATGGAAACCCATTTCATGAAGCTCCCGACGAACAGTTCTTGTGCTGATGTTGCTTCCAGAGGCAGTTTGGAACTCGGTAGTGAGTGTTGCAACCGAGGACAGACTCTTTATACGCGCTTCAGCACTCGGCGGTCCCGTTCTGTGAGTTTGTGTTGCGTACCACTTCGAGGCTAAGCCGTTGTTCTATTGTTCTACTAGACGTTTCCACTTCACAATAACAGCACTTACAGTTGACCAGGGCAGCTCTAGCAGGGCAGAAATTTGACGAACTGACTTGTTGGAAAGGTGGCATCCTATGACCGTGCCACGTTGAAAGCCGCTGAGCTCTTCAGTAAGGCCATTCTCGGGTCTCTCCCCTCGTCATTGGGTCTGAGCCGCCGAAGCCTCCCACCATTAGCTCGGACAAATTGAAAACCCTAGTCATTGTCGACACCATTACCCGCAATATTAGATTTAAGAAGAATCATCCAGCGATCATACATTGTTTACCAGGGGGCAGGGCTACCGACGTAAAGGCTAATCTGAAGATGGTTCTGGATGAGGCTAAAACTGGCGAGTGTAAATGGTATAGGGATATTGTTATCCACGTCGGCACAAACAATGTTAGGAGGAAACAGTCGAAGGTCACCAAGCGCGACATAATTTAAGCGTATAATTTAGCTAGAAAGACGTGTTGGTCTCTGGACCCCTCCCAGTTAGGGGAAGTGATGTGCTCTACAGCAGACTCGCACAACTCAATCGCTGGTTGAAAACTGGTTTCTGCCCCTCCCAAAAGATAGAATTTGTAGATAACTGACCCTCTTTCTGGGAATCCCACACAAACAGGACCAAGCCTGGCCTGCTGAGGAGTGATGGACTCCATCCAAGCTGGAGGGGTGCTCTCATCTTACAGTGCCTTGCAAATGTATTCATCCCCCTTGGCGTTTTTCCTATTTTGTTGCATTACAACCTGTAATTTAAATGGATTTCTATTTGGAATTAATGTAATGGACATACACAAAATAGTCCAAATTGGTGAAGTGAAATGAAAAAAATAAATAAAGGAAAAGTGGTGCGTGCACATGTATTCACCCCCTTTGCTATGAAGCCCCTAAATAAGATTTGGCGCAACCAATTACCTTCAGAAGTCATATAATTAGATTGCACACAGGTGGACTTTATTTAACTAAGTGTCACATGATCTCAGTGTACAGTGGGGAGAACAAGTATTTGATACACTGCCGATTTTGCAGGTTTTCCTACTTACAAAGCATGTAGAGGTCTGTAATTTTTATCATAGGTACACTTCAACTGTGAGAGACGGAATCTAAAACAAAAATCCTGAAAATCACATTGTATGATTTTTAAGTAATTCATTTGCATGTTATTGCATGACATAAGTATTTGATACATCAGAAAAGCAGAACTTAATATTTGGTACAGAAACCTTTGTTTGCAATTACAGAGATCATACGTTTCCTGTAGGTCTTGACCTGGTTTGCACACACTGCAGCAGGGATTTTGGCCCACTCCTCCATACAGACCTTCTCCAGATCCTTCAGGTTTCGGGGCTGTCGCTGGGCAATACGGACTTTCAGCTCCCTCCAAAGATTTTCTATTGGGTTCAGGTCTGGAGACTGGCTAGGCCACTCCATGACCTTGAGATGCTTCTTACGGAGCCACTCCTTAGTTGCCCTGGCTGTGTGTTTCGGGTCGTTGTCATGCTGGAAGACCCAGCCACGACCCATCTTCAATGCTCTTACTGAGGGAAGGAGGTTGTTGGCCAAGATCTCGCGATACATGGCCCCATCCATCCTCCCCTCAATACGGTGCAGTCGTCCTGTCCCCTTTGCAGAAAAGCATCCCCAAAGAATGATGTTTCCACCTCCATGATTCACGGTTGGGATGGTGTTCTTGGGGTTGTACTCATCCTTCTTCTTCCTCCAAACACAGCGAGTGGAGTTTAGACCAAAAAGCTCTATTTTTGTCTCATCAGACCACATGACCTTCTCCCATTCCTCCTCTGGATCATCCAGATGGTCATTGGCAAACTTCAGACGGGCCTGGACATGCGCTGGCTTGAGCAGGGGGACCTTGCGTGCGCTGCAGGATTTTAATCCATGACGGCGTAGTGTGTTACTAATGGTTTTCTTTGAGACTGTGGTCCCAGCTCTCTTCAGGTCATTGACCAGGTCCTGCCGTGTAGTTCTGGGCTGATCACTCACCTTCCTCATGATCATTGATGCCCCACGAGGTGAGATCTTGCATGGAGCCCCAGACCGAGGGTGATTGACGTCATCTTGAACTTCTTCAATTTTCTAATAATTGCGCCAACAGTTGTTGCCTTCTCACCAAGCTGCTTGCCTATTGTCCTGTAGCCCATCCCAGCCTTGTGCAGGTCTACAATTTTATCCCTGATGTCCTTACACAGCTCTCTGGTCTTGGCCATTGTGGAGAGGTTGGAGTCTGTTTGATTGTGTGTGCGGACAGGTGTCTTTTATACAGGTAACGAGTTCAAACGGGTGCAGTTAATACAGGTAATGAGTGGAGAACAGGAGGGCTTCTTAAAGAAAAACTAACAGGTCTGTGAGAGCAGGAATTCTTACTGGTTGGTAGGTGATCAAATACTTATGTCATGCAATGAAATGCAAATTAATTACTTAAAAATCATACAATGTGATTTTTTGGATTTTTGTTTTAGATTCCGTCTCTCACAGTTGAAGTGTACCTATGATAAAAATTACAGACCTCTACATGCTTTGTAAGTAGGAAAACCTGCAAAATCGGCAGTGTATCAAATACATGTTCTCCCCACTGTATATATACACCTGTTCTGAAGGCCCCAGAGTCTGCAACACCACTAAGCAAGGGGCACCACCAAGCAAGTGACACCATGAAGACCAAGGAGCTCTCCAAACAAGCCAGGGACAGGGGTTGAGTTATAAAAAATATCCGAAACTGAACATCCCACAGAGCACCATTAAATCCATTATTAAAAAATTGAAAGAATATGGCACCACAACAAACCTGCCAAGAGAGGGCCGCCCACCAAAACTCACGGACCAGGCAAGGAGGGCATTAATCAGAGACGCAACAAAGAGACCAAAGATAACCCTGAAGGAGCTGCAAAGCTCCACAGCGGAGATTGGAGTATCTGTCCATAGGACCACTTAAAGCCGTACACTCCACAGAGCTGGGCTTTATGGAAGAGTGGCCAGAAAAAAGCCATTGCTTAAAGAAGAACATGTGGTGTTCGCCAAAAACGCATGTGGGAGACTCCCCAAACATATGAAAGAAGGTATTCTGGTCAGATGAGACTAAAATTGAGCTTTTTGGCCCAACACCTCTCACCACCCTGAGAACACCACCCCCACAGTGAAGCATGGTGGTGGCAGCATCATGCTTTGGGGATGTTTTTCATCGGCAGGGATTGGGAATCTGGTCATAATTGAAGGAATGATGGATGGCGCTAAATACAGGGAAATTCTTCAGGGAAACCTGTTTGTCTTCCAGAGATTTGACACTGGGACGGAGGTTCACCTTCCAGCAGGACAATGACCCTAAGCATACTGCTAAAGCAACACTCGAGTGGTTTAAGGGGAAACATTTAAATGTCTTGGAATGGCCAAGTCAAATCCCAGACCTCAATCCAATTGAGAATCTGTGGTATGACTTAAAGATTGCTGTACACCATCGGAATCCATCCAACTTGAAGGAGCTGGAGCAGTTTTGCCTTGAAGAATGGGAAGAAAATCCCAGTGGCTAGATGTGACAAGCTTATAGAGACATACCCCAAGAGACTTGCAGCTGTAATTGCTGCAAAAGGTGGCTCTACAAAGTATTGACTTTGGGGGGGTGAATAGTTATGCACGCTCAAGTTTTGAATGACATACCTTTGTCTTATTTTTTGTCTTATTTCTTGTATGTTTCACAAGAATAAATATTTTGCATCTTCAAAGTGGTACACATGTTGTGTAAATCAAATGATACAAACCCCCAAATATTCCATTTTAATTCCATGTTGTAAGGCAACAAAATAGGAAAAATCCCAAGGGGGGTGAATACTTTCGCAAGCCACTGTATCTATCAACATAGACAGGGTTCTAACTCCTCTAGCTCCACAACGTGATGGGGTGCAGGCCAGGTAGCAGGCTGTTCACCAGCCTGGCAGCTTAGTGGAGTCAGCACAGCTTTTCCCATTGAGACTGTGTCTTTGCCACAATCTAGGTCGGGCAAAACTAAACATGATCACTTTGGAGATCTCACAGGAATAAAGACCTCCTCCATTCCTGTAATTATTGAAAGAGATTGATATTTCACATCTCAAAATAGGACTACTTAATGTTAGATCCCTCACTTCTACGGCAGTCATAGTCAATTAACTAATCACTGATCATAACCTTGATGATTGGCCTGACTGAAACATAGCTCAAGCCTGATGAATTTACTGTGTTAAATGAGGCCTCTCCTCCTGGTTGCACTAGTGACCATATCCCCCGTGCATCCC